AAAGGTGGGAGGGGGGCGGGAGTGGGGAGGAGGGGGTCAATGGGGGAAAAATGTGGAACATCTGTAATACATTTTATATCCAATAATAAAGATTTGAAAAAAAAAAAAAAAAAGAAGAATAGCATAAGTCCAGGTAATAGATACTGGGATTTCGAATAAGATGATAGTAGCAGAGATGGTCAGATACAGCCTATAGATTTTTTGTATGTAGAGACAACTGGACTTTCTAATGGGTTGTATGTGGGGTATGAGGAAAAGAATATGATCAAGAATATTGCAACATTGTCCTCTACACCGAAAGGTGGTGGGTGAGATCCATGGTAGGGGCACATTCAGGACTGATCAATGTTTCTCTCTTACATGGGTGTTTCTCTTTCTCCCTCCCTTCCTCCCTCTACCTATTCCCCGTTTTCTGTTTCTCTTTTACCTCTCCTCTCTCTAAGATCAATTTTAAAAAATGGTTGTGAAGATTTTTATTTGAACTGAGTAAATCAAGTGACCCAAGGAAGGGGAAAGACTAAAGGAAGTATAGGTTTGGAGGCACAGGGATTAGGAATTCTACTTTATCATTATAATTTAAGGTGCCTTTTAGGCACCCAAATTTTGAGAAGACACATAGGCAACTGACTCATACAAGACTAATGCTAAATGAAAAGGTGAGGGCTGGAATATTAATGGCATTTATGACCAGAGGACTAAATTAGATTTCTTGTGAAGAGAATGTGTATATATATATATATATATATATATATATATATATATATACACACACACACACACACAAAAGAATGGAGAGTGCCAACCAAAAAGGCTTCTAGAAGATGAGATCACTGTAAATGCCTTGCTGATACTTGTTGTTATCAGTCGTTGAGGTCTGCAGTGCAATTTTCCCCAAGAAGTTGGAAATTAAAGAAATAGGACTGCTACCACGGTGAAACTGTAAAACCAATAAGTAATGGGCTAAAAAGCAGATATGCAGTGCCACTTTAAAGACATAGAACAGTTCTCAATCTGTAGGACATTACTGTAATTTGTGTTATGGGATAAACTGTGCCCTCACAAAACTCATATGTTGAAGCTCTAACATGCAGTGCTTTAGAATGTTAACCACATTTGGAGATAAGATCTTTATAGAGGTAAGTTATAATGAGGTCTTTAGGATGAGCCCTAAATCAATATGACTGGTGTCTTTTTAAGAAGAGGAAATTTGGACACAGATAGCATGCACAGAAGAAAGATCATATAAATACAGAGGAAGAAGACAGACATGCATAAGCCAAGCAGAGTCCTGAGAAGAAACCAATACTGCCAACATCTTGATCTTGGACTTCCTAGCCTCCAGAACCAAGAGAAAATAAATTTTTGTTGTTTAAGCCACCCAATCTGTGATATTTGTTATGGCAGTTCTAACAAATATAATCTGATTAAATGTCGTAACACAGCATGTAAAAAAATGTGTTGATCAGAAAGGTTTAATTACTTAAGGAAGCATACAAAAAATAAAATATGCAAGAGTCTGAAATCAAAGGGGTCAGTTACAGGGCAGCAAGTTGGAACAAATGCCATATCAAAGGAGAGGTGGTTAAGTCCTAAATGCAGACAAATCCGTGAATTAGTCATCAGAGAGGCTGACAGAATAAAATATTGAAGTAGGAAGGGGTAGGAGCAAACAGGAGATTGGGAAGACAAAGTGAATATATGACATGAAATGTGTAAAAATAGAGCAAGTTTGTGAATCAAGTCCCTCAAGCTGTGAGGCAAAATTTCCTCTAATCTTGTAAATAGTAGGCTGAAATAACCAAGATTCATACTTTTTACATACCTCAAGGTCATAAGGCCTTAAATAGAAAGGCTAGTTCCGATAGTGTCACTTCGTGTGTCAGACTACCAATGGCCTCCCAACATCCATTCTTACCTTTTAATTAATAATAGTAACCCTGATTTTTTTTTTATTTAGCACATTTCCATTCCAGTAAAATATCCTAGGCCTCCCTTACAGTTTTTTTTAATCATTATTATTATTGTTGTTGTTTTTATTTTATTTTATTTTTGTTACAGATGCTTCTCCTTTTTTACCCCATTGACACCCTCCTCCCCATCCCCCATCCCCCACCCCATCCCCGGCTTTGTTGTCCATGTCCATTGGTTATGCGTACATGCATATAAGTTCTGTGGTTTATCTCTTCCCTCCCTCCACCCTCCCCCCTTCTAAGGGTTGTCAGTATGTACCCTACTTCCACGTCTCTGGGTCTACCCTATTCCTCAGACTGTTATGTTCATTATATTCCACAAATAAGTGAGATCATGTGGTATTTTTCTTTTTCTGCTTGGCTTGTTTTTCTTAGGATAATACTTTCCAGATCCCTCCATGTCATCTCAAAGGATAAGAGATCTTTCTTTCTTACAGCTGCATAGTAGTCCACTGTGTATATGTACCACTGCTTTTTTATCCATTCGTCTACTGATGGACATTTGGGCTGTTTCCAGATCTTAACTATTGTAAATAGTGCTGCTATGAATTTAGAGGTACATATATTCTTTCTGATTGGTGTTTCAGGCTTCTTAGGGTATATTCCTAGAAGTGGGATCACTGGGTCAAATGGAAGTTCAATTTTTAATTTTTTGCGGTAACACCATATTGTTTTCCACAGTGGCTGCACCAGTCTGCATTCCCACCAGCAGTGTACTATAATCCCCTTTTCTCTACCCCCTCGCCAACACTTGTTGTTTGATGATTTGTTGATGGCGGCCATTCTGACAGGTGTGAGGTGATACCTCGTTGTTGTTTTAATTTGCATCTCTCTGATCATTAGTGATGTTGAGCATTTCTTCATATGTCTCTTAGGCCTCCCTTACAGTTAAGTATAACAGTTAAGAACAGGTTTCTGGCTAATGAGATATAAGAAGTATATGAAACTTTCAGGAGGTCTCCATAAAGGTACGGAGTGAAACCTTCTTGCCTTTTCTGCACTACTTTCTTAGAATGTGAAGATGAAGGTCGAAATTCCAAAACCCATCTTAACCATTTTAGACCATAAAACAAAGGCCCCACTCCAGGGAGGGGGCTGGAGAGAGGACAGAAAGTTGGAAGGAACCTGGGCCCCAGTTAACTGAGGAGCTTTGTTATCAGGCCTGAACTATTGATTTCCAGAGTTCTTTAATATGAGAGAAATAAACTTCCATCTTAGCATATTGCATATAGAATTAAATGCATATCTCTGCATTAGTGTTCCTCCATGATGCTTTAAGCCTATTTTTTCAGTGTCATCACCTACCAACTCATTCTGCTTTTTCCAGATTCTGTTTTATTTGCTATTCCCTAAATATGCCACCCCCATCACTATCCTGATTCCATCATTTTTCTCTAATAGAAATCTGTATTTCCTGTTTTCTTCCTTCCTACATATTAAACTTTCCTCATTGTTAAAAAAAAAAAGGCAATATACATGCCTAATCTGTCACCCCCACTTATTACCAGTATTTCCTGAACTTATTTGGTGACTCTTTTCTTTTTAGGCTGGTAATCTTCCCAGGTACAGGGTAGTGATTTCCTTCTCAGTAGTCCACAAGGCTTTTTTTCCCTCCATATTTCTTCACTGATAACTTTCTTGATTTTCTTTCCTTATTTCTATTTGATCTCTTCTCTCCAGGTATTCCAATGTCTCTTACTTATACCTTAGTTTTTCCACTTATCATACTCTGCTTTTTATTATGATAGTTTTATTCACTCATTCAACCAACATACGCTGTGGAGGGTTGGACATGGGGGTGGTAGGAATCTGAGATGTAATTATTAAAATTTCATCTCAATCCTTTCAATATCCTTTGAAAGATCTATTATCATGCTGTTTTTCAGATGGGGGAAACACAGGAGATAAGCTAGACAGCTAGACATGTGGAAGAATATAAAATTGAAATTTGAGATTAAACCTTCTAACATCATTTTTTCCACTATTCCATATTAACTTCTCTCAGGATTAGCAAATACAAGGCCTTCCTGAGAAATCTGCCTCTTTCGCGTTTTATATGGTAAACAACAGTACCTTCTCTTTTATTATTTAATATGAATTTGAATGCCTTCATTGGAAGTGCACTTTTCAGTCTTCCGGAGTCCTCGCCAATCCCTGTGGTCCCCAGGTTGTTTCCCACATTTAAGTCACCTTCTTGGCCCTTAAGGCTTTTGTGAGTTTTTGAGCCTGAAAGTTCCCTTCAAGCCATTTTGGAATTCTACCTCAAGAGTCAGGAAGGCTGGGCTGAGTCAAAGCTAGTTCAACCTACTAGTCTTACTGTAAGGGTTTTGATGTTGTTGTCGTTAAAGATTTAATTTTCTGTTACTAAAAGGAAGAGAACTGTATTCCTTTTCTCTTTTCTTAAAGGATTTTCTTGAGCAAACGTGTACCCATAAAGCCTCCCACTGTCCCTTGGACCTCTGTAGGCGCCCTGCTCCAAGCTGTACGGACCTGCTTGTCACAGAGACAGAATCATTTCATTTTTCACAGTGGATAATAGCAAGTAACTAAGACAGACGGCAACCCAAAAGGTGACCTGCCAAAGGGTATACAGCAAATGGTGTTGTTTAGTCCTCTTACGTGAAAACATGCACATCGTGGACAGGACCTGCCTCGCTACGTAAAAGGGTGAGGTTTCTGTCGGTCTTCGCGATCGCGTGAGCGGACGACCCGAGCCGCTCAGCCCAGTCCGGGAACAGAGCTCTTCTCTTTCTTTTCCACGTGGGTTGCCATCTGTTAGTTACTTGCTGTTGTCCACTGTAAAGAGATTTCCTGAAGTGGCAGGAGATTTCACTTTTCCTCGACACGACTAATTTACTCCTGTCTCTTACCTTTACTCTCCCTCTGTCCCAACCCCCAGCGGTAACTGGCCCTCGGCTCACCTCACACCTCCCTTGGAGATAACGTGGCGGCCCCGGCGGCCAGAACCACGATTCCCAGCATTCTTGGCGCCCCCGGCGCTCTCGACTTCCTCTTCCGGTCCAGGGGCTGCTGAAACCGAAAGTGTCGAAAGTGTCGTGGTTTCGGCGCCCCGCTGAGATTGATTCACCTTCACCTGTGCGAGCCCTAGTGGATCAGGTGGCAATCCAGACAGGCAGTTGAACATGAACGGAAGAGTGGATTATTTGGTCACAGAGGAAGAGATCAATCTGACCAGAGGGCCCTCAGGTATGTGCGGAACACGTCATTTTTGGGAGGAGGGCACTTGAGGTATAACTGCAGAGCAGACACCTCTTCTGCCGAGCCAGGTTTTTTGGCCTCGGAGCAGGAAGGCCCCAACCTAGAGGTTTCCTGCCATGCTCTTGAGCACGTAGAAGAATATGTTGGCATCCATCGATAGCCAGACATGGACCTGAGGAATCCATCTCATTTTTTGAGTTGGATTACCACCTGCATTATAGTCAGGACAGGTTTCTTTCTGCTAATGGTACCAGAAAATCCTGGGATAAAGCCTGCTTTATAGCCAACACACCATGAACAGCACACCCCTCCCTCCCATTGCCTGGTTTATACCTGTTCTTATGAGAGACTGTTTAGTAAAAATGGGAACATAAACGGGGTAGACTGTAGATGCACAGCTGTTTTCTTGGTACTAGTATTCCCCACTCCCCCCTTTCACTTCTGGGAAATTCATTTTGTGTCAGCTAGAATTTTAAAGCGGAAAGAGACCTTAGACATTTGTTACAGAAGTTCCCAAATGTGGTTTTGCCTCAAAATTACCCAGAGTTTTGGGGTTTTGCTTAAAAAAAAAAAAAAAAAAAAAAGTTAGTTACTAGGTTCCATCTCTAGGAATTTGAATTCAGTGGAGGTGTTTTGTTTTGTTTTTTGTTTTTTCCCTTTTTAAACAAGTGCATCATGCTTCTGGAGTGCCAACAATTTTCTATTTCTTGAACAAGGATAGTGGTTCCCTGATTCGGATACCACCAAATCCTTACTTACCCCAGCAGTCCTCTTCCCCCTGACGCTCTCCGCTCACTGGGCTGTTACCATCACTACATGCTGCCTGCCTTTAATTTTGTTGCCTTTCCTTTACACCTGTCTAGTGTATCCATTCAGACCTTTAGCTGTGGAATTATGTAGGTCCAAATCTGGTATCCAGTTTTCTACTAGTTCTTTGATATTTATTCTCTGACCAATTTGACTGATGTAAACCTTAATTTCTCATCTGTAAAATGTGCATGATAATAGAATACACTTCATAGGGTTATGAGAATGAAATGAGTTAACTATATAAAATATTTAGAACATTTCAAACACTATGTATTTGCTATTACATTGTTAACAGATGAATGGCTAGATTAACACAGTAAATCCCACTAAATACTGTTATTCCAAGTGTCTCCAATAAGTCATCAAGTACCATGAGTTCTATCTCTGAAATGTTTCTGTGAGCCTTCCACTACTTTCTGTTCCCATCACCACTGCCTAGAACAGTCCATCATCTTTTCTCATCTGGAACTTTGCAATAGCTTGACCACCACTTATAGATTATTCTTCATAAAATATGGCTTTCAGAACCATTCGAACTTTGCCTTCTCTCTTGTTATAAAAAAATTGGAAGTTGACTTATAATTCATTGCTAATCTGCATGGTTTAGTGTCATGTGCCATATGAGCTCCTAAACTTTTGTCAAAGGCTCTTATGCTCAAGTCTCTTAGGTTCACTTTTCCTGTTATATGTACATTTCTCCTTTCACCCTCAATGTTTATTGACTTCGAAGCTAACATGGAACATTATTGTTAAACCAAAATTTGTTTGTCTGTTTTTCACCCATTGGTAATTGCTCTTCTATGACCCATTAAAACAATGGTAGCTCCTTTTCTTATTGCCCTGCATATATTTAAAGGCATCTAGTTGTTCTACTCCTTTTTTTTCTCTTCCTTCTATAGCCTAAATAGCCCTAGTTATTACATTTGCTCTTCTGTGATGTGGTTTGAGGTTTAATTCTCATCTCTGAGTAATTTAACATACTTTGACATAGTCCTTTGGCTGTGGCATCCAACAGTATTTTCAGGATCTCCTGACTAGAGCAGGGCAGAACTCTGATATTATCCTGCATGTTTTAGTCACTAAATATTTTTAAAGTTCAGTAGAGTATCACTTTGCCTTTTTTGGTATTTGCCTAACAGTGTTGCTTAATGTTTAGCTTACCATTCACTAAAATTTTGTATTGATCTTGCAGACCTAAAGTTCCTAATGTTAGTATTTTTTCTGAATCACTGGAGTTACGACAAACTTCAAGAGACTAATTAAGAAGAACAATTATATCTAGCTAATATATTTCACCCCAAAGTGGCTTAATTTCAGTATTATACTTGCATTTGTTAAAAATGAATGAATTTATTCACTGGTGACTTCCTTAGTTTTCCTAAGTATATTATGTCATATTCATATAAGTTGATAAATTTAAGAGAGTAGATCCACAAATTTTGCATTGAACTTAGATTGAAACAGTCATTTGAAATTTGGAGGTTCGGTTAATGATAAAAGGTGTCAAGTTTTTGTTGATCACCTCCCAGAGGTAGTTACCTGGTATGTGATACTCCTTAGAAGTCTCAGAGTCTCATTCAGCTTTTCTTCACCATGTCAATAATGCAGATACACAGGGAAGAAGTCGATTATTACCACTAGAAACTGGTGGTCGCATAGAGCTCTTTCTTTCTATAGGAGAACTATGAAAAGCCTCTAGTTCTCGGTATATATTTTTGTTGTTGTTTATCCTCACCAGAGTATAATTTTTTGTTGATTTTTAGAGAGAGTGGAAAGGAGAGAAAGAGAGGGAAAGAGAGATTGATGTGAGAGAGACACATCGATTGGTTGCTTCCCCCATGGGCCCCAATTGGGATTGAATCTACAACCCAGGTATGTACCCTTGACCAGGAATTGAACCTGCGATCAGGCCAATACTCTAATCACTGAGCTATACTGGCCAGTGTTCAGTATGTGTTTCTTTTTGTAGGCAGTATTGTCACTCTTTGTGTACAACTTCCTATGCAGGGACTTGGTAGTTTAATGAGGTAACTGCAAGAATGCATATACCTTTGCTTTTTTGTGCCAGTGTTCTGTCAGGGGCAAGAGTCTTGGATATTTCCAGTGTTTGGGTCCACTTTGCAAAACAGATGATCTTGGTTACTGTAAAGGAAATAATGAAATCTTAGGAAAATTAGAACAATGAGGTGAGTGTCTGGGAGGCAAAAAGAAGCTTGGCATGCAGTTTGGCTTCTCTCCTGTACCAACTTCCTCAATTGTTAAGAAGAGGCTTAGCCCAGATGACTTTGGAGGTTTTTTCCACTTTCAAGAGTTCAGGATTCTTTGGCCTATTTCACATGTTATTTTAAGATTCCTGCCATTTTGGACTAACAGTGGGTGCTTGAAGAGTTGTCAAAGGTAGTGGTCACAATCTCAAAGGTTTGAAGAGTACCTTTGATGCTTTATAGAACACCATCTTTTTTCTTTCTATGGGAGTCCAGCTTGATTAAGTCTCTAAGCCTCCCACTTTTTCCTTTATCAAATTGGAAGGAAGTTCTTAATGTTGAAAAGACTGTTATTCTAAGAAGTATGGCAAGAATCTAATCTAGCACTGGCCAGTGTGACTCAGTGGTTAGAGCATCGGCCCATGCACCAAAGAAAGGGTCAGGGGTTTGATTCCTGGTCAAGGGCACGTACATGGATTGCAGGTTCCATCCCTGTCCCCACTCAGGAGGCTGTCAATCGATGTGTCTCTCTCACGTTGATGTCTCTGTCTCTCTCTCCCCACCTTCCTTTCTACTCTCTCTCAAAAATAAATAAATAAATAAAAAGAGAATCTACTCTAGCTTTTTCCCCCACAATAACAGGTAGATATTGGCCATAAAGACAACCCTATTATACATTGTATATTAGGATTGAGATTCCTTGTTCAGGACTGAGGCCTCAGTGGGTTTCAGTTAAGTTGCTCCCTATATCTATATCTATATCTATATCTATATCTATATCTATATCTATATCTATATCTATATCTATATCTCTTTATATATATATATATATATTTTATTTTTTATTTTTTTTCTTTACTGATATGAGAGAAAGAGGAAGGGAGAGGGAGAAAGAGATAGAAACTGATGAGAGAGAACATCAATTGACTGCCTCCTGCATGCCCCCCACTGGGGATCAGGCCTATAACCTGGTCACGTGCCATGACCGGGAATTGAACTGGCGACCTCCTGGCATATGGGTTGATGCTCAACCACTGAGCCACACCGGCCGGGCTAAAGTCAGTTAATTTTAAGAGCCAGGAATTTAATCCAAATCTGTTTATTCCACTGTTTCATGTGCCACATCTCAGTATAGTAATCATGTCTAAGGAGTTGACTCCAATCTTTATCCTGACCTTTATTTTATTATATCATGCCTTATTCCCAAAAGATTTGAGACATCTTAAATGAATTATAAAATTCACAGTGGAACGTTTTTATAGTTTGCTGTTGATAGAGCTGAGGACATGTCAAGGTGAGAACCTAAAAACAAGAAACCTCATTAAGTTCAAGTGTTTAAACCTCTACAGACCTATCATGTGCTCTGTGTTTAAACCTGAGACTGTTGCTAACAATTTTCTGATCTGTTCCTTCATGTTCCGAATAGATCTGAGACTAAAATGCTATATCCTTGCCCTATTTTCTCTTGATTACTAAAGTCTAGCCCTCATGGAAATGACATTTCAATGGAGACATGATATTCTCATGCAAAAAGTTAAATCTCAGTGCAAAGGTGCAGATGGTTGTGGACTATGATTAGCATGTATGTAATGGGAGGGCAAAGGAAATGTGTAGGGGAGTGTGTTCATCTGACTGATCAAAAGTTCAAAGAATGGAGCCGTTGATAAGGGCCAGACTGATCAATTACAAGAAGATAGAATTTATGTTGGTTTTATTTATTTATGTTATGTTGTGTTGTGTTTTGTTTTGTATTGTTTTGTTTTATTTTGTGGTACGTGCCCCCACAGGCCGACGCTCAACCGCTGAGCCAAACTGGCCAGGGCAAACTTATGTTGGTTTTATAGACAGGCTTTAGCCTAGTGTGAGGAACAGGGATGGGTATGGCCTAAGCAGTAACAGAGAAAATAAAATAAATTAAGCATATTCTGAACTCAGTGAGTAAATCAGCCTGGATAGAAGGAGAGTTAAGGGAGA